CCGTACCGGTTCTGCCCGATAGACTGCCTATATTATTGTAGTTGAAAAAATTTAGAAAAAATAATGTTTCCCCAGCAGAAAATTGTACCCGTTTCACCCGGTAGACTGTGGCGTTCATTTACATGAAAGCATTTGTTTGCAAAAAAAAACTATTTTTCTAAAATAAAACCGTGTCGGTCACGCCCGGTAGACTGACTATATCATTGTTGTTGAAAACTTATGGTTTCCTTGGCAGAAAACTGTACCGGTTCCTCCCAGTAGTCTGTCTATATTATTGTTGTTGAAAATTTATAGTTTCCTTGGGAGAAAACCGTACCGGTTCCACCCGGTAGATTGTTGGTTTCATTCTTGACAGCATTTGTTGCAAAAAAAAATATATTAAAAAAAAAACTGTACCGGTTCCGCGCGGCAGACTGTCTATATTATAGTTGTTGAAAATTTATGGTTTCCTGGGCAGAAAACCGTACCGGTTTCACCCGGTAGACTGTGGCTTTCATTCTTATGAAACCATTTGTTGCAAAAAAAGATTTTTTTTTTCAATAAAACCGTACCGGTTCTGCCCGATAGACTGCCTATATTATTGTTGTTGAAAATTTTATTGTTTCCTTGGCAGAACACCGTACCGGTTTCACCCGGTAGACTGTGGCTTACATTTTTATGGAAGCTTTCGATGCAAATAACGAAAGATATCTTTCTAAAATAAAACTGTACCGGTTTCGCCCGGTAGACTGCGTATATTATTGTTGTCAAAGATTGTTGGAAAAATAATATTCCCTCGGGAAAAAAGTGCCGGTTCCACCCGGTAGACTGCATGTATAAATGTTGTCAAAAATTTGTTGAAAATCTATTATTTTCAAAGAAAAAAATTGTAGCCGTTCTCGCCCGATAAACTCTTGCTGCTGTTGCAAAACATTTCTTTTTAATGAAAATTGTTCCGATTGCGTTCGATAGCCACGGAATATTATTGTTGTAATGAATTTGCTCTTCGATCAATATTTCCTTTGAAAAAAAAAAAAAT